CAATCAATATCTGCCTTGCTAAAAACTGAGCGGCACTGGTGGGATCGCGTCTGAAACGGTAAGCTAAACGAAGTTGAGAGTTTCTGGTGTAAGTTGGCAAGACTCCAGGGCTGTAGGAGGCCGGGGCTAGGGGGTACATGGTCTACGCAAAACCAGCTGCACTCAATTGTATACACAGCCTTTTTGTCACGACCAACCGACCGTAGTTTACGATGCCAATGGCAGAATAACCAGGTTCCAATTTGGAAAAGCCAAGCAGAGGTTTATATAAAAGAGAGAAAGAGGACTTGAGCAAAGGTTCAGAGTTTCTCCTTGCTGGTGCCAATTACCGGTTTCATCTTTTTGACATCTCATATTGAGAATCTGTGATTCTGTGTAGCAGGCTTTATATAGACTTTAAAGTGAAGATGGTGATGGTGAAAATAATGGGGAACAATATCCTAAATGTCTGACAGGTAAAACAAGGGGCACACACATAAAGGTGTATTTTAAAGTATAACAGGCTTGTATCGGGCTGGGGCAGGGGCAGCAGTCAAATTCACTATTTCACAGGAAGCATTGCTATCCGAGGTCCAGTTCAAGCTTGTTTGGGCTGATGGAGAGGCATCTACATGTACATAATATAATGAGGTAAAATGAGAATATAGGGCAAGACATTGCAATCCTGCATGTAAGCAACCCTGGTATAAAACCTGGAGCAAGCAGGCTTTGTGCGACTTGAGAAAATGGAAACAAGAAACATCAACCAATCGCAGCTGATTTTAAAGATAAACACTGATATCTCAAGCTCGAGCTTGTTTCGAAATGCTAATAAGAACATAGGCCTAGATGCTCCTATTCTCCATGGGGGCAAGTCTTGTATAAAAATTAAATAAAACCTAAAGCGAGCAGGGTTTGTGCGATTCGGAGCAATAAAGACAAAGAGCCTTCAAAATCTGACCATCTTCTTGACCAGCCCTGCTCCAATTTGAGCTTGTACAGGCTCATGGAAAATCACGTACCGAAGCAAAGTAAGAATTTAGGCCTAGATATCATGTGATCAGAGCAAGAAGGACATTAACTCTGTGATAAGCCATACGAGTTATCATCCTTCTGGCTCCGACTGGACAGTATTACAATCCTGCATGCAGCAGGCAGGCAACCCTGGTATATAACCCAATATAAAAACCAGGCACCGATCGGTCGGTACTGGTGAATCTGATTCTCTGCTCCTCGTCTTGAATTACCATCCAATCAGCAAGCATGGAGTACTACATGCCCTCAATTTTAATGAGCGACACATCACCCGTTGAGAGCCAAAGGGGCATTAAATGGGTGTTACTTGATAGGGGATAATTCCCTTCTACCTCTGAACATGTGATATTTTATAGGCCAGACTGTGTGCTTGGTTTTTCTTGTCAAACCCTATCTGCAGATGGTATCATAATGAATTAGGCCCAAAGGAAATTTAGAAATGAAAAGAAAAATCAAAGTGTACAGAAATTTATAAAAATCTATCCTCAATCTGCCCCTCCTTCCTTCTTGCCTTTTATTACTTTATATACCTGCCATCAGCCCCCCCCCTAAAAATACATTATATCTGCATGATTTAATCAATGTGGGAATATAGGCCTTTGACATACACATTGAATCAATGAATGCTGATCTGAAGGAGAAAGATTTTAATCAGGATTCCAGAATTCCTTCAAGTCAAATAAAAGAATATAATAAAAATAAAAATCATGAACATGCATCAAGGGACACAAGTAACAAACACCATTTTTTTTGGGTAATGACAAACTCTGTATTTGTACCAGTACCAAGGGACAAGGACATACTGAACTTTTGAAAGTTCAGCAGCCCCATTATGCAGGCCTGCATTATGGCATGAACAACAAAAAATGGAGAAAAAAACTTTTGATGATGGATTATTTCAGCAGCACTATAGGATGTTTTTCTGCTGACTGAAGATTGTCTGATTTAGGCCGACAGCCCAGATAAATGTAATCTTTTCATCCTCCATTTTTTTTCTTTCTCAAAAATCTTTTTTCAATCATTAATAACAGGCAAGAGAAATGGGGCTAAAAAACAACTCCGGGTAAACATCGAGCCCCTGTTTGATCATAAAAGACAGGGTCGAAGCAGAGAAGGGAGGAAGGACACGATTCAAAGATCTACCTGAAAAAAAATTGAATGGTGTTGTGATAATGTGCACTGGTGTGGCACGGTTTGACTGGCTAAAATAGAGATTAGTCCCCCAAATATAAGCATATCAGTCTCTTTTTTCGTATTTTTTCAATGTTGACTTTTCGCTTGAGTTGAATCGCTCAAAAACAAGCTGAAAAGGGAGTACTGGATCAGTGCGTGATGCATGTTTGTATGGATGAAGAACAAAGTTGAACAGTTTGGATACTGGTACATATCATGATACATGGTTTATACAGAAGGTAGCAAGTGCAGTGAAGTTTACTTGCTTCCAGATAGGCCACCACTAATATATGGTGTAGAAGTGATGTAGTCGATATGGTCTTATCACTTGACTTAAAATAAGCATGGGTTCGAGCCCCAGCATTATATCCTTAAGCAAGGCATTTTTATTAACATTGTTCCTCTCCACCTAGATGATAATTGGGTACCGGGTAGGATGTGTTTGTCATTGTTGTTGGAAGAGCAAGCATAATATTCCTAATTATACTTCCAACAATTATTCATGTTGTGTTCTGATGCGCCTTTTCTTGCCACATTTCGCAGAGCTACTTTACTGTAAGCAATGCAATGTTAGGTGTCTATTATTCAAGCATTCTATTACTGATGGGGCCAAAGAACAGAGAAATGTTGCCATAGAAACAAAACAAAAACCAAAAACGATGATCATGCATCATGGTATGACAGGAATAACATGCAGGCACCAAATACAAGTAGTTTATAACAAAAATGGGAGAATCTGTTGTTAAAGAAACACATGCATATACCAAATAACTAAGACAATGTAATTTCTAACTATAAAATAAACAACACACAATCACAATTAACAACACAAGTCTCTTTAGTGCTTAAAGCGATACTGAACTGATGATCTGCCTGCCGTAGCATACTGTTATTACAAAGCACCGTCTCATAGTCAACTTGCCAACAGTGTTGCATAACCCAATACCAAATTTCCACTTCGCAGATCGACAGAGGACCACGGGACCATACTGCTACAGCTGGCCCGAGATGGCGCTAGAGGCAATTTTGCGGAAATGCTTCTAGTGCGGTATGGCTTTAAGTTCATCTGCTGAGAGCCAAACGAGTGTTGCTTCAACAAAGAGCTAATGCCTTTCTGGCTCTCAAGTCTCAACAGACAAAATACACCAACCATACAAGCTTCACTATTTAAATCTTATTATGGCAAAGACGGGATGAATATGATTATTGCCGAGTTCTTTTTGTTATCAATAAATTTCCTTTGAAGAAATTCTTGAAACATCACTATCTGAATTAGTGTTGAATGACTCTATGTATTTTAATGTTGTTGTTTCTGTTGTTGCAATTATTGTCATTATTCTTAAGCAATCACTATTATTATTTCATTAGACATGAAACATTTTTGACAGCTGATGTTCAGCTTTAATATGTACTTTTCATGACCTTGAATTTCCTAGTAGTAGCAGGCACCAATGATACTTATATGGATCTATGAAAGATGTATTGGAAACGAGGCCACGTACTCATGAACCATGGATCTTTGGTAGATGTATTAGAAACGAGGCCACGCGTGAACCCTCCACCCTCCATATTGCTATTCCATCTATAAATCTTGTCATAAGATTAATGGAGGCGATTAAGTGCCAACTTACAACATATGGTCATGCTAACAATCTAACCGTTTAACTCATTTCAATTAAGGTGAGAAAGGATTTTAGAAGCCAGGGTTGAACGTCTATATCCTTTCTTTCGGTCAAACTAGATAACTGTCCTCTAGAAATATGATACAAATATACAAAATTACAGTAAGCTATATCTGAAACTTCCCCCCCCCCCCCCCCTTTTCTACTCATATTTTTGTTTCCAGTAGCTCATGAAATTTTTCAATCTTGAGTGAAATTCATTCTGGTGATTGACCACTTAAAATCCAAGATTATTTTTAAATTTGTAATTTACAGCAATGATTTTTAATATGGTTCAAATGGTGGAATTACAAGTTATAGACCACAGCTTTTCATGACATACTGAACATTCTAAGGCAAATAAATTGGGGTTTAGAAAAAGCGGACAAAAGTTTCATGTTTCATGCATAATCTGTCATGTCCTTTACCCTACTTATTTAGGGTTTCCAAGAGAATTTATAATCTACCGTTTTATAACGTTTCTATGCACTTCCGCTAATACCTGCACTAGATTCACTGAACCCTCCCAAATCACAGACTTTTCATGCCGTTGAAATAAATAAACAGAAATCCTTGTTCTTTTTTGTGTCATGTTTGTTGCAGTTACAAAAGAGTCCATTTTCTCTTTGACTTTTAAGTTGAATGGTGTGAAATTGTCTATGTATGTGACTCATAGCCAAAAGTGCCTGAATCACTGACGACTGAGATATTGTATAGGACTCTAAATTTTGTTTAAGCTTATCTAAATTAATCTAAATTTCAAAAGACTTTACAAGAAACATCTTCTCTCTCTTTATAACGCATAATTTATTTTAAGACCACACCTATATTACTAATACTCCTCCTTTTTATTTTTTAAATATTTTTTTCCTTCTTCTCAAGTATATGTTATTATTACTTCTGCGCCTGGTGCATTCAATTGTCAAGCCTTACTGGCTTTTACGGATGCACCATTTTCCATTTATATTTTGAATGCTGTTATGTCAATTTATATGTAATTTTGCTATTGTTACATGTTATGAAATTCCATATTTTATCTTTGTATATATTGTCATGATGGAAATAAATTTCAATTCAATTCAATAAATCAGTTCTGAATGTCATGTCCATTACGCTGGCTTTGCCTTATGGTTAAACAAAATAAAAACTTACATTTTGAAATCTGTCGCTTCTAGGGAAGAGGTTGGGGCAGGAGGACAAACTTTTAGGATTCTGCTGCGCCTGGGGATAAGATTGAGACAAAAAACACACACACCGATAGAAAACCAGACACATTTCATTCAAAAACGAGTTATCATATAAAAGAAGACAGTAAATCATAACTAACAAAAGCAAAACATATAACAAATGCATAATGTAACAAAGGTTCCACTTACGGTGAGGGGTTTTCATGGACCAGTGGATCTGAGATTATATTATCCCCCCCCCCCCAAACAAAAAACAAAAAAAATATGATTTTAGAAGAGTATGAATTTACAAATAGTAAAATAAAAGAAGCGAAAGGCGTAAATATTCTAAAAGAGAATGAAACGCTGATAATACCAAACAACAACAACAACAACAACTTTGTATATAATTTGAAGAATTCGATTCACCAGTCCATGGGCAAAATTAAACTGATTCTGATGGCAAATACTCTGATATTTTCAAATTATATTTTCAAAATTTGGCTCACCCTTACAGGCATTAATGTAAATTATACTATTTTGGCGACCAACCAGAAATGTACAGTTGGAACCTTTGATATATTATGCAACATGATATGAAACAGAAATGGTTATGGTTAAAGAAACTCCTTTAGTAATGAAATACAATATTTTTTGGCACAACAAAATAATTTCTGGAACAAAAATGAAGGCAAACTTGTAAACGATAACAAACAAAAGATTTATTTTATTAAAATATGGTTTTGCTTTAGAAAACAAGGCAAAATCAAATGCAAACACAAATTTGATTAGATATAATGAAATGATAAAAAAAAGATTATTTATAACAAATAAGCAAATGAAAGCGGATAAACTTCAAAAAGACAACAAAACAAAATAAAAGCTTACTGAACACTGAACAGAATTAAAGGGAAATTTGTATATCTTGATTCCACGCACAAATAAAAGGGGAAGTTTTGCAACAAAAAAAACAGAAAAGGCAGCAGGTATTTGTAATGTATTTACATATTGTTATTTTTTTCTCTCATATTTTAAATTTGACTAGTTGATTTACTTTTTAGGAACAGTTGTAAAACAATTCCTCTACCTTACTCTTCCTTCAACAGTAAAACCTGTTTCTCTTTCTATTCCACATCTGTAACAAATCTCTATTTCATCTGTTAATCAGCTGGTTTAAAATTTAACTTTCATTTGTAGTATGTTTACCAGTATTCTCTGATTTCATATTATTTGTATAATACATGTTTGTTTCTCTTTCATTTATATATGTCTGTTTCACAAACCTGTCAGTTAAAAACCAGTTGGTTAATAGTTCAAGTTTAATTTGTAGCATGTGTATTGTCTGATTCAATATGTTTTTCTTTACCTAAAATGATATGTATGTTTCTCTTCCCTTCCATTTATATCTGTCTGTTAACAATCCCTCATTTAATTAACAGTTGGTTTATGGGCTAACTTTCGTTTGTAGCATGTGTATGTTTCTTTTATTTTAGTTTCCTTTATTTTACCATGATATGTTTAGTTTCATTTTTGTTGTTATGGACTCAAACGCACATACTACAGTGCAGAGCATGTATTTTCACTGCTAACGCCAATCGACATGTGTAAATCATTTTGACACTGAATTCTGCGGTCAGATCTCATCCCATACAGTAAGAAGAATCCTCATTTTTGTGTGCTATGTACACCTGTTCTAAATGGAATAATCAATGCTTCAAACTTCTCTTTCCCACACTACGGAGATGTATACAACAACACAGCAGCCTCTTTTCTGTATAGTCTGTGATACACAGACCATTTTTCATACAGATGGGGATAAGTCCTCTAGCAACGGCACAAATCTATGAAATCCTAACTCCAATTGTATCTTCCTAACGCTTCAATCACAAAATATCATTTCCTTTGTATGTATGCATTCCTTGTATTTTTACTTCTTGTCAATATACCATTTTAAACATTAAACAAAAAATAAGTATAGGTTATATATATATATATTCATATATGATCATATTCCTTTGTTAATGCCAATTATGCACGTAAGCATGATTCCTCTAACTTGCATTATCCTCTTCATGTGACATGTATGTTATACGATACATGAATAATGAATAAACCATTATTGAATTGAAATGGTATTGAATTGAATGCAGGGGTTCAATTACTTCCTACTTCACTCGTTTATTCCGTCTAGCAAGAAAACTACCCCGTTCCTAAGAACTGCCCATTCCCTAGACACTTGAACCCCCATTGCTCTCCAGTGTTCTTCTTTTCAAGAACTGTTTCAGCTTCGCTGGCTTCCTTCACCTGGGACTTGGCAAAATCCTTCTCCCAATTGATTTGTGGTTTGTTAATCCTCTGTTAAGAGTGGTTAGTCCCAAGCCTTTGTTCTCACGTAGGACCTGGGAGAGACTCTTATTATGGCTATTCAACCCAAACCATTCAAGGAAATGGACCAAGTTCTTTTGGAGGTGAAGCACGATCTCGACCCTTAGCTTGAGTTTGAAGACTCTGAGATGCTCAAGGCAAGCTCAGCCTTAGAAGTCACATGGGAAATGCAGATTTCTATAAATCAGGTTTCATCCTCCACACAATAACCACTATCTTTACATATTCCTATCCATCCTTTTGGTAAACAGCTGTTATCTCAAAATTCAAATTCTTTTTAAATATAGATGTTGATCCTGCAAATCAAAATCAAAGACCAAAATAAGTAGTTTCCTTATTGAACACTATTGGTCATAGTTATTACACCAATTTCATAAACATTTGTTGGAGCACAGTTTCATTGAATTATTCTAATCAGTATTGCGATCATTAGTGCTACCATATCTACAACTGAAAACCTACATGGTGTCTAAAGGAATAGACTAGCATCCACTATCCATTAACTAAAATAGATAATAACCTAAAGTCTAATAATTGTATTGTCCAGTAGTCCGAGGGTACAATGACTCTACACTTATGCTGCAAATGTCTTTCGATTAATCCCAACCTAGAGTCTGAAATGAGCAGACTAATTTCTATTCTACCTGCGACTACAGAATGAGCTTAAAATAGAACTAATCTAAACCTTACTTTCTCTACAAACAATACAGCGACCTTTTCTCACTTTTTTGCTAACTTGCTTTCTAATTTTATCCTTCTGAAAGTTATCTGAATGGGGGTGTCTTGGTGCAAATTGCTTTTTGTGATCTGCATTGTTGTTTGTCAGAGGATACCTGCTGGTCCCACACCAAAATATTATTTTGTTTTCTGTCTCAGGTTACTAGAAAGTGCAGTGCCCTGTATCTAAATATAACACCAAGCTGGTATAGGGTGCCATTGATATCTCAATCAATGCCATGTAGACAAACTTTGTCTTCTTCATATTCATACTCTTTTATTTTGTTATACACCTGTAATATTTCTCATTCTGTCCATCTCTGATTGGGTTTTAATGTTATTTTTTAAAGTTCTTTGAAAAATTGACAACCTTTTCTCCCTTTAAATACTCTGCTCATTCTGTTATCATGCTCTTTCTTCAACTTCATTGAAGTTCCGTGTATACACTGTTTTCCTCTTTAGCAGATTCAAAGACCTTTTTGATTATTTTGCTTCCCTTCCTTTCCTTAATCTTGCTTTAATTTTAGTTCCATTTCTTACCTTTCTTCCCTTTCCTCATTTCTTTTGATATATTTAATCTTTTAAAAAAAAAATTGGTATCATATTCCCTTTTTCGTCTTTTTCTAATTCTATTGTTTGATGAATTTCCTCTTCCCTATAATCATGTTCATGAATAGCTTGAAGGATCCTATTCTTTTACTCATTTCCTCCTCTCTATCGTTCTTGCAATCAAGCTCAACTTAATTTACTCTTGAATGATTACCTTCCCATAGTAGCAGCTCCTCAGACTGTCACCTTTCTGAGAAAAGTGCCTTTCATCAAAATCACAATCACAAAATCACGACAAAGGTAGAATCACCAACTAAATTACCCTGAATAACTCCCAAGGTTTTCATTTCTTGAGATTACAACATGCCTTTTCATTTTATAAAGTGTAAACCACCCTTCTAGCTTTCAACAGATATTGTTTTTGTACATTACTATATAAGTAGGTACTGATTGGATAATGGCCGAATCCATTATGATCAAGTTTATTTCTTGAGTCTCGTTGGCTATTAGATGATCCATAGGGGCTAATAGAAGCACTGCTAGGTTTGTAATTATATGCCTTTGTACAAACACTTTAAAACTGTGCTTGAAGTATGGTCCACCCTGTTATAATGGACAGCATGCTGGCTACCTTACTCAATTCCTCCAAATTATGGATTGCAGAACAAACCAACTTCTCAAAAGAGTTTCTTCCAAATGAAAATAAAGTTAAACAAGAATTAACTTTACCCATACAACTTCTGAACAAAGAAGGTTGCAATTAAAAAATGTTTTTTTTTAATTTCAAGTATGGATGTGGTGTCAGTTGTATGTGGGTGTGGGTGTTGGGGTGGGAGTGAGTATGTGGGTGTGTATATTGGTGTGTTCAGGTGTGTGCATCTGTGTGTGACATAACTGTTACTGGATGGCACCAATGTATCAAATGCACATGGTGACTCTCGAGTGTGGACGTGGGTGTGGATGTGGGTGTTTGGATGGGGTGTGTATTCGTGTGTGTGTGGTAGTGTGTGTTTCACATATGTGCTGCAAGATGATACAAATGGATCATAAGCACACAGAAACTGTGTTCATGTAGGTTGGGGTTGCATGTGGGTGTGGGTGTGTCTTCATTTTTATGTGTTCATGAGTGTGTGTGTGTGAGTGTGTTTGCACGAGTGCAACATACTTGCACAAATCAATCATAGACCCATGGAGACGCTGTGTGAGTTGGTGTGTGAGTGTGGGTTGGGGTGTGGGTGTGTGCCCACATGCCGCGCTGATGTTTTGTATGTGGGTGGGTGGGTGGGTGGGTGTGAGTGTGGGTAAGTAACATACCTGCTGCAGGATACGCATGTGTTGTCTCTGAAGACAGTCTCTCTCCATCAGCACTCTTTGAAGGCGTAGCTTCTGCTGCAGCTGTTGCTGTTGTGTCATCGGCCCTCCCTGCTGGCTTGGCTGTTACAAGTAGAGTTCAAAGAGGAGAAGACAAAGTCATTTCGTGTCAACATTTTGATTACCCATTGTTGAGATCTTTTTGTGAGAAGTCTCATTCTTTTGTGTATAACTCATGATCTCCGCTTATGTTCTCTTTCTCTCTAAACCCACTTCCTTTCACCCTTTTCATGTCTACTGCAAAGAGTCAATCTTCACTGTTATATCTTTACTTAGTATCCTCATCTTCCTCATCATCATCATCTCATCATCACTGTCATTATCATCTGCATCAGCAGCAGAAGCAGATGCAATGACGATCACCATCAATCTTCATCATTATTTTCTTCGGATACATCTGGTTTACTTTTCAATACATAAGTACTTATAGGCCTAGACCTACATTTACAATGTATATCAGGGACTAGAGTAAACTAGGCTGTAATGTAAAACAAAGCAAAATAATTTTCTGCCTTTATGTCTTTTGCCTATCTACATGTATCTCTCATCTCTTCTACATCTCTCTGTTTATGTTGACTGCACATATTCTTTAAAATGCTGACCTGCATCAAACATTGTACACATCTTTATACTTGCCCCCTCCCCCCCCCCCCCCTTTCTCTCTCTCCCTCTCACTCTCTTTCACTCCCTCTTCCTTCTTCCAATCCAGCTGCTATTACTATATCACGCTTCTTTGTTATGTCACTCTTCTCTATCTCTCTCTCTCTCTCTCTCTCTCTCTCTTTCTCTCCTCTCTTTCTCTCTCTCACTCACTTGCTCACTCGCTCCCCCATTCCTTTAATATACCTATTCCTCTTTCTTACACCCTCTTTTTATAGTGTCATTTAAAATCCTGTTTCATTCTTGCACAAGAGTTAACTTATGAACGAATGAACACACATCAACGGCCATCACACAACAGAGGCCTGTTTGTCATCATCTCAAACTTTCCCTTCCTCCTCCCTCCCTCCCTCCCTCCCCTATCTCTCTTTCTCTCTCCCACTCTTTCCCACTCGCTCTCTCTCTCTCTCCCTCTCTCTCTTTCTCCTCTTCTCTTCTCTTACCCCCACCCATCCTTCATACTCCTCACACATCATCAGCTGTTGCCTGTGTGTCATATGCCATCTAAACCGAGAATGATGAGTGACAGATATAGATGTCCTCCGGAGCTAATCCATCATTATATCTCTCCATCTTTCAATCTCTCTCTCTCTCTTTCCATCATTCATTCAATCTCTTCATCTCTTACACTGTTATATTGGTTATTTTCCATTTACAAAACAAACTGCCCCCCCCCCCCCCCACTGTCAAATCTATTTTATAATAGCTTGTTTCCTTTATGTACGCGTATGTCCTCAAAAATACTATTTTCCATTTTACAAACTGCCCCAGTCAACTTCACTCTCGTTATTTTGGCTCCATTTCTTTGAAAAGTCTTCCTAAATCTCTAAATTGAATAATCTATTTTCTTCAGGAATCTAAAGTCCCTTAGGATAGTTAAGATTTTGAGTACAGGTCATGCAATTAGAGTGTGAAAGAAACTCTTGTAAGACTAGTTGGGACAGGCTGATCATGTAGGTATTACATTTGTTCAGGTATTGGGAGATTATTGAATTACCAATATGAGATGAAATTTACAGAATCTTACAGTAATTGCTGACAGATATGGGTGTATATGGCATTATATACAGAAGGGGTCCAAACTTTTAAACCATTATTTAGTCATAACTTGGAATATGAAGGTATATCAAGAGCAATTTCTTTCATGGGATATTGCTAAGTATGGTATTCATGATTCATCCACAAAGAAATTGAATAAAATGAGAAACTTAAAAGGACCAAGGATAGTTTCTTTCAACTCACCGGTTGTGGGGGACTGATTGGTGGTGGTGGTGGCGGTGGTGGTAGCTGTGGTGTCTGTTGTGACAGTGATGTTGTAGAAGAGGCAGTTGCTACAGAGTGGCTGGGGGGAGGGTTGGAGTTGTTCTGCGATTGTTGTAAGGCTGCCGCGGCTGCCTGGACTGTACCTGGCGCCCTCATGGCTGAAAATAGGAGAACATTTATGATTTCAGTTACAAAATTTGTCAAGCCAATTAACTTTGTGTGGGAGGCTGAAAAGAAATGCATATACCAGTACATGTACATGTAATGTACTTCTGACTATAAAATATTTATCACAAAAATTCATCCATTGCAGTTCAATCATAAAGAATAAAAACATCGCGACCAGTCTTTGAGTAAGCCTACGATGCATGTACATTTGCCCCTTATCAAACTATTCAAACAACACAACCCAACAAAAATCTTTTATCTCGAGTTGCCTAGCAACCATATGTAATAGTGGGATGATGTAGGTCAAGGCATTAGCTGGAGATGACCCTTGCATGCCACCATCCGGTATCAGGTTCACGTTCTTTGCTGAGGGTAGGTATTACGTTCTACAAGGGATAGGAACAGGCCTTGGATGTATGAAATGAATGGTTCAGTTCAACAACGGAGATGCATGATGTACGTGTAGGCCTACTTGAACATTTTACATGAACTGCTTGCTTTGATTGCATAAATATGTATCTGATTCAGAGGGAAGGATTTGTATACCCTACATATGTGTCCCTTTTACACTAATAAGTCAGCCTTATCCCGTTTATTTGTTATTGGCCAGATCTAGGACAGATCTTTTACACCAGGAGATGCTCACTTTGTGCATTTTAGAATCATTGCATAAGTAATGGAGGTTCTTCATGAATCCTTATTTGCCCTCTTGTAAAAACTCTTCCACCCGTGTATCATAAAATCTATCGCAGATGTATTCATGAATAATGATTACATAACTTTCATGAACACGTACAGCCATTGTCTCGATGGGTTTTACCATTTTGTATAATGTAAATGACCTTGTATGCCCATGCGCAAATGCTATCTCCTAAGTGACTCATTGCTATTGGCTAAAAGTTTTTCCTTTGTTCTATGTTTTTCATGGAATTCAGCTCCCCTTTTTTTAACATACTGACAATTTAGTCAGTTCAAAAAATATAAAAGCAAATACAACTCAACATGTATCTTGACATAATTGTGATGTAAGTAAATATATTTTCAAAAGAAGCAAAAATGAACATTCATAACCAGAACAAATTCTCCATTATGAGCCAGAAAGGCTTAACTCTGTGTTCTAATGGACATGTCATATGCACATATATCTTCACAAGGCCCTGTATATTAAAGTTTGCAAAAAAGCTTAAAGGTAAAGACCAGTATTAGAAATGCCCCAATTTCTAAAAATGAAATGGAAGCTCCCATTACCAATCATGTGAAAGAATATGTTTTGACTAAAACATGATGATAAAAAATTTGCCGGGAAACCGCCTACTAATTCATATATTTGGTAAATTTGTTTCTCTCATGGTCTGTGAGAGATATAGGGTAGTCCCATATACATCTTTCTGTGTATAGTGCTTGTAACTTTACGAAGAATGGGCCAAATTTCTGATCATTTTGATGATTCCAGAACCTTGCAGATGCTAGATGATCAACCTTTTCTGATCGATTCCACAACGTTTCTTTCACAATGCAATCGCATGACCATAACTGGTCTTTACCTTTAATGTACTCTATTGTTATTAAAGCGCATGCAATCAACTCCAATTTCACAAACAAACTTGACACTGATTGAACTACTTTGGTGACGAAATAAAGAGTTTATTTGAACAGTCATTTCAAATAAAGGTAGGGCCTTGGCAGGAGCGGCATATATATTCAACCAAAGTCTAAATTAGGGACTCACATGAGTGCAATGGGGGTAAACCGCAGATTCAGGTTAGTGGTAGCACTGTTTGCATATGACTACCTTGAAATTTAGCAGTGTCTACAATTACACCATTTTGGGGGGAAATTATTTTAATTATTAATAAAAACAATATTTAGAATCAATCAACTTTCTGATATATTACTGAATCTAGAATGACAGATTTGACCAAATATTACATGTCAAATTCAAACTGATGGTTGATCTTGTGTCATATACAGGGCAATTTTTGCATGATACATAGTACATGTAAATAGCGCTAGGGTTAGGGTTGCATTCAAATTTCAGGTCAGATTTCAGGGTTTGGGTTAGGGCTAGTGTTTGGTCAATGGTGGCTTTGACTTTGGCCCTTGAATGTCATGAGGAATTCGGTCAGTGCTGGAACAATCGTTACTGTAGCACGAATCATAAAACATGTGAAAATGCTCAAAGATGAAAATGGACGTTTTTTTTGTCTAAGTTTTGTGGCGACTTATCAATATCTAGCACTACAAAACATTTCAAAATGATGATCCACTTACCAATCCTAGGGTCCAGCCATGTTGTCGTCCTTTCGACGTGATTGATAAAATAAACCTCGCCCTCTGGTGTCACGGCTTGCTCCCAGTTGATCGGCAGCGGCCCGAGATCATGCATGGACGGCAGGGGCTGACCGTTGCCTTGCATGATGATCTGCTGCACCTGCATGGAGTAATGATAATTGGTATCATTTACTGATGGTAATAATAGTAATGATAGAGGCAATGACGTCACAGACTCATGATTGAGTTGCCAATTTTGTGTTGTGATTTTTCAAAGTTGTTCATGTCATTAACAATTCATAACTTTCTTATTAAAGATATTTATTTTTAAAAAATAAAAAAATAATAATTATTTTACCATCATCATTATTATTATTATTATCATGATAATTTTAAGAAAAAAATAATAAATGGTTAAAATTTATTCAGTAATCCTGCTTAATAAGACCTGACTATTTAAAGGGCCCACAAGTAATATTCTTTGGGTAAAAAGTTTATTTCCATGAAAAGTACACAACACAATGGGAATGGCAAAGAAGAAGTTTGTTAACCTATATTTACATTGTAATATTTTTTGTGAATTGCGGAATAAATAACAAATAAATAAATAAATAGAGGAGGGCTTGACTCACCTGATTATTATTTGTATTTGTGTTTGGTTTGCTCAGCTGATTGGGAACACTAGGAGGTTGAGGCTTTCTTGGGTCTTCCCATGTCGTTTGCTGATTGCTATGACTGTTAGGAGTACAATATGTGAAAATAAAAACTGATTGGTGAGATTGGTAGTAGAGCGATAAATAAAGGAACTCCTTAACCCATTGCGTACTGGAACCTGGTGGTCCCTGTGTTAAGCCTATGGGAACTACATAATTCAGTAGTTAACAGGTTAATAATTAAAAGTTAGAGGTGAACTCTTTCAAATGAAGTTTTAAAGGCAGGTTATTTTACAGAGAGTACATCGCTACCACCACTGTATTTTTCAATTGCGCATCTTCGGGTGAAGGCAGACACAGAGTGATTTCCAATTCCTGTAACTACATGTAAGCATCATCAAGCATACATGTATACTGTCATCATTTGGTGATGCATTATGGGACATGGCTGTCAGAACAGCAGATGGCAGTACAAGTAAATTTGAAGTAGTGTTATTAGTGTACCCTGCCTTTAAAATGTTGTTTTAACATCGTAATGCCGAACATTTGATTTTTCAATATCTAAAGGAGTGCTGGTTAATCTGAAATTGTTTATTACTTATTAATACTTCTATCATGAAAATGTAATGAAAATATTTGGCTCATGAAAACTTAGTGAAAAACCACATGAACAACAATAAAATGAACTTATATTGTGATTTGCCAATTAACACTCATTTTAAATCTTTCTTTGGTCTCTTTCTTCTTTCTTCTTCATTTTTGAAGCATAACAATATGAATGCAATGGATTATTGATTTTTTAGTCCATTATGAACACAAAGCACATGGATCACCAACAGAATATTAGAGGGAAATCATTATTATATATATATTCATTTTTACATGTAATTATATTTTCATTGAATTACAACATAGTGATCAACAACAACACACAATAAAACGTACAACTATAATTCAAACCGATAGTGCCCTGTTAATGAAAAAGTATGTACCTTCAAATACACATTCAACGTTTAAACTTTCCAATTATGAAGTAAACACTTCTTCACTCAACATCGGACATCATTTCACTCCAGCCACAGTCACTCATACTGCAGAAAACATTGCAAAATAATCACTTATCCCGTACTTGATACATGTAACTTAATACAGAAAAATCAGACGCAAAGTTGCAAATACTGTTTCATATTCACCCATATATTTCATGTTTATAAATTATATGTGAATTATTCTAAAACAAACCGGACTTAGATTTTGGGTGCCCATGTGTCCTGTGCGTCTGTTAGTATCAAGCCCTGACCTTATGAAATGTGTAATGAAAGAAATACCTAGTTTTTTTAAATATTTTATTGTAAAATAAAGATGAAAATATTCTACATGGTATAAAGTGAAAAAGCTTTTATCATTATACAGTCCTGATACCCATAGAGTAGACTGCAGTGGAAAAGATGGAGTTGAAAAGCAGGACAGTTTTGATGGATCTGCCCAAATAAGGCCACACCAATGGACGTAAGCAGTACCCCTGTGGTTTACGACAGATTGTAATCAGAGGTTTAGAACAGCCCACAATAACCAGTCCATGATTGTGTTCACATTACACAGAGGGTAACAATGGTTCTGGGGTGCTTTCACCATAAACTTCCCATGGAAGTGTTCACATTACACAGAGGATTACAACTATCCACATACACAAGCTCTTGGGTGCTTTAACATTACACAGAGTGTAGGAACAGCCCACATTAAGCCATGGGTGTGTTCACACTTAACAGAGAGTAACATGTACATCTACCGGTATCCACAATAACCAGCCCATGGAAATATTCAGTTGGACAGTCCCAATGTATAGATCATGGGAGTGTTTACATTACCAGTTGGATAGTATATGATGCAGTAATACTACTAAATCTAATGTTCCAGAAGTTTGTTTTAAAAGTTCACACTTAACAATATTAATGACAATGGATGAGTGTGCAATGTTCAACATAATTTTTATCTATCATGTTAGAGTTTCTTGCTTTCTCTAAAGCCCTGATACTGATATTAATATTAACTCTGGCTTTTACCTAATTTTTTTTGATAAAACTTACAATTGTAACTGACAACCTAGCAAATGAGATCAATTCCTCAAGTGTTATCTCTCTTTTCAAAATTTACTTGTAATAAATATCTGTTCAAGTTCAAGAGGAATATCCAAATGAAAAGAGAAATGGGTGTTCTAAATGTGGATGAATCAGGCTCAATTTCATGGTCCAATTGCATCAAAAAAGGGGGAAAAGTTGGTAAAATTTTGTGGTACACTTACGTAAAATGATGGATAGAACAGCATCTATCTATTGTAATCGGTCAAATTGGTGTAAAAGAAATAGGCGGGGTCCGTGGGAGATTTTTTTTTCCCACAAATGAAAACAAAACCACAATTCTTCTAAAAAGTGGCTATAAAAAGAATTTTGTGAATGGGTCGTAATGCATGAAATCAGAGCATATCAATGAAGCTTACATGTACATGTAGCCTATCATAAAAGTACATGGAGCACTCATCTATTTCCATCCTGATTAGTTCCTGAGTGTAATGAGGACTAGATGATATAAATTTCACACACATCTATCTGATGGGTTGTATGGTCCTCTTCAAGTTATGTGAGCCTCCATGTTCATCAACAAAACTGGACGTTTCTGTAAAATACAAGCAATTTCTTCCTCAGTTTCCCCACCCTTCCCTTTCTACTTATAATCCAGAGTATAAAAGGTTAAAGGCCATGTGCAGTGTTGGTAAACCATCACAACTTATGGTCAAATCTTTGATTCTAAGATGTTTAAAAAAGGAAGATAAAGAAAATAGGGAAATACCTTGCATTGTATGAATAATGTCCCTTTTGACCAGGGACTATCTGATTAAGTACTGTAAAGTGCCCAATTTTATCACTTTCCTATCAAGGTTGGCGAATATATAAGCATTTTTTTGTTGTTGAAAAAATGTAATTCCTTTCACAGAGGTTTCTATTTGGTGACGACAACCCTATGGCTGGATAATGCTGAGAAGAGCCTGGACTATGCCAAGAGCCTAAATCAACTCCTTGATCACGTCTAGATCTAGGCTCCAACCTGCCAATACACTGTTTGCACTTCGGAAAAGCACCATATAATACCTATTCTTATAGTCCATATCAGTTCTTTTAAAGCACACCCGAGGGCATGTATGAATACAAGCAAACATCTCAGTCCTGACCATATTACAAAAAACAGTCCCCACAAAAAATTCATAGTTTGCGTGTGAAGGCATGAAAAACGGAATTCAATATTATGAACAAACAAGTCTTTTCAAGATATTTTGAACATTTTCACCCTCAAAGTACAATATGGAGAAATTGTTAAACTTGGACTAACACAAAATTTGAACCTTGACCTTAAACTCCATTTTACATGTAAAGATTTGGGTCTACAAAACTCACATTCGTGATAATAACACAACACTTATAATTTTGCCTGTGAAAAAACAGACATGATGGAATCCAATCACATCCAACAAATCTTTTCAATTTCAATTGAAAACATTATCTGTAATGAATGTAAGAGGTCTGAGCTCACACTAAACCTGATCATAAATAATTTTGAAAAATCATCCTAGGACAATTTCAGTAGCCTTGTCCATGGTACGCGCTTTATAAAGACTATTTTTATTATCCTCACATGTTTTATTTTCAGGGTTTTTCAACTGTGTTTCAGCACCTTGAATCTTTAAGAGTATTTGCAATTCTGTTACAATTCATCAGAAAATAAATCTGTGTACAGTTTGATTGTGTAAAATCTTCCCCAACATAACTTTGCCTGGCATTCTTTATGTAAATGGATATGGAGTATGAAGAAAATATTAAAAAGATAAAATAAAACCTACATTTAACAGAACCAAGTCTGAATTTGGTTCTGTGCATGCCCTATTCTTAACCACATTTAGTCCACTCAACAAGATGTCTTACTTTTCATTGCAGTCATTGAAGGTGTATCTATTTAACCTACAATATCACTTTGTAGAAGTAATATTTTAAACTTATATATTGAATACATACCGCGACATGGAACCCCTTACAATTGATTTGGCGATTACTACACTTTAAATTTGGACCTGACTTAATGATTGCACAAATAGACTTTATGTTGAAATCTAAATGTTATTGACAAACTTATGATTGATAACATATATATGTAGGCCTACTAACCCAATATCATAGGACGTTGCAAGATTAACAAGAATTATGGGTATTCTGGCATGGTTCGTAGTATTCATTCATGTATCGACATGTCTTTCTATCACCAGCCATTAATCTAAAACAGTTATTGACTTTGCTTTACTTATGATTCCCCCAATCAAAGCAAACAAACTTTATTACCCCTCCTCAAATATCACAATTTTACTTTGCAATATCCACCTACTTGGCCATGAACATTTAGTACATTTTGAAGGATTTATTCAACCCAGTTCCGCGATGACCCTTATTTGTATGCTCTATTGTTAAAAGATAAGAGTTAACCCAAACATTTGATTACAATCTATGTTTTCACAGGTTATCTCCAGTTCTGATAATGATGGCAAATACATTTCCATAAAAAAAAAAAAAGGAAGTACTATGAATTTCAAGACTATTAAAATAATGTATACTAAATCAGTGTTTTTCTAGAAACAGTCTAATACCAAAAGCTAAGTATTTGGCAAAGACAGGTATAAGGAAATCAAGCGAGTAATCCTGTATGTATGTTGTACTTTTGAGTGAGTTTTATTCCTAGGTTTTTATCTCTTGAGATTCACAGTCATCTACTACTGTATGATATGATCAATGATTTTAGAAGTACAGATATACTTCATACTTGTTTTTCTAAAAACGTCATTTCATTACCAGAAGTTTTAAAAAGGTAAAGCTGTACATGCAGGGGCAGATCCAGAATTCTCTTTTTTTAAAGAGGGGGGGGGGGGGGGGGAACAATCAGAAAGATATCTGACAGACAAAATTAAAACCGTTTTAAGTAGGCAAAGACTCCAACCAACCCATGAGTAAAATCTGTGAGAATAGGACTACTGAACACTACATGTATTTACAACAT